GATGATGATGATGATGATGATGATGATGATGATGATGATGATGATGATGATGACGATGATCGTCCATGAAGTCTTATAAACCTTTTATTTATTTAACTTAAACTTAAAGATTCTCAAGTCTTGAGACGCATGCGGCAATCTGAGATGACCAGAAAAATGTGTCTGAAGCTAAGGTGGGGGCATCAATCAATCCATTTTTTGTTAACTAATTTAAGGTTTTTCTCTATTGCCCCTTTCATCCTTGGTCGTCCCCTAACTCTTTCCTCTCCCCCGATCGATTTTCCATTGGGCAGCCTAATAGAAATATTTTGTGTGTAGAAATTGTTGAAGATAATCAAGCCATTCCATTCTAAGCATTCTTTTTTGTGCTTTGTGTTTGTCATCATCTCCTGCTGGCATGCTAGGATCTATCTATTACTTCTTTGTTCGTAAAGAAGTCTTTCCTGGGGAATGTTAAGTATCCTACGTACGTACTACGAGTAATTGTTGACAAAGGATGCCAGTTACCTTTCTTGTTCTGTGTGGGTGGTTGGCGGGTGCTCTAGTGTGGTTTGCTTCTTCTTTCCTATCAAACATCTATCGTCCTTATCTCCCCTTCTTTTTATGTTTGTTACTCTCTTGTAACACCTCTATTCTTATGGCGCTCATATATGACTTTATGCAGTTGTGAGCGCCGTAAACCCTCTACTAAAACTTAACTTTCTTGTTCTGTCCTTAAGGTCCCTGACCCACAACATACATAATTACTGACAGGACATCTGAATTGTACAGACTTCCCTTCAACTTTGAGCTCATCTTACTTCATTTTTTTTTTCTTCAAATTTTATTGAGCTTGTTGAAGACTCCAAGGTTTTCACCTGAACGAATGTCCTTTTACGGCTTTTTTAAATGTTGAAAATGTACAGCCAGTTCCTTTTTTACGTCAATAGTAATGAACGAGCAGGAAACAAATAAATTCACTCAAACACATTTTAACCTGTTCTAACGACCAATTTTCTAAGATAGCCGTTTGTTCAAACGGCCACTACCTAATTCCCTCTTGAGTTTTTTTTTCTTTCTTTCTATATCATAACAACATTGTACAAGAAGGCAAGGCTAAAACAACACCTAGACCTGGATGGCTGGTGCCTCTGTAAATAAATTATTGATGGCCAAGATGACAACTTTCAGATATTTAGCCCTTTATTCATAATCTTGGACAGGTTTAAGTGTACCTTGACTGTATCATCACCTCTTCGAACAGCCACAACACAATTTTCCCTTAAGGTTTATTATTTTTTACATCAAAATCAAACTGTCCCAAAGGACAACCTGTCTGTAAGGACCACTCTTCTCATCGTCTTGAGCAGAATTAAGTGTATCTTAAGTGGGCCGATTTTTCCTTTCTTTATTATCACAACGACACTGTCCCAAAAAACAACCTGTCTATAATGACCACTTTTCTCATCGTCTTGGGTTGGTGAAGTATATCTTTACTGGTCCCGTTTCCCTTGTGTTTTCAGTTCGACATTGTTTGTGACAACAAGATTCTGAAAACCCACGCCAACATGGCTCTGATGGGTGGTCTCCTCGGCGGCTCCTTGATCATGGGCATTCTCTCCGACTTGTGAGTGCACGCCCACTCAAACGTACACACAAATACATAAAGATATATACGCTTGTTTGCACGCACGCACGCACGCACGCACGCACACACACACACACATACACATACACACACTCACATACACACAGACGTACATACTCACAAAAACACACACATATGTATACTA